ACAACTTCATGTCATTACAGCTTCATGTCATTACAGCTTCATGTCATTACAGCTTCATGTCGTCTCAGCTTCATGTCATTACAGCTTTATGTCATCTCAGCTTCATGTCATTACAGCTTCATGTCATTACAGCTTCATGTCGTCTCAGCTTCATGTCGTCATAGCTTCATGTCGTCTCAACTTCATGTCTTCACAGCTTCATGTCTTCTCAGCTTCATGTCGTCTCAGCTTCATGTCGTCTCAGCTTCATGTCTTCTCAGCTTCTTGTCGTCTCAATTTCATGTCATCTTTGCTTCATGCTGTCTCATGTTGTCTCAGCGTCCTGTTGTCTCAGCTTAATGTCATCCTGGCTTCATGTCGTCTCAGCTTCATGTCGTCTCTGTTTTATGTTATCACAGCTTCATGTTGTCTTAGCTTCATGTCATCACAGCTTCATGTCATCWGAGCTTCATGTCATCAGAGCTTCATGTCATCACAGCTTCATGTCATCACAGCTTCATGTCATCAGAGCTTCATGTTGTCTCAGCTTCATGTCGTCTCAGCTTCTTGTCATCCTGCCTTCAAGGTCACCTCAGCTTCGTGTCATCCTGGCTTCATGCTTCAAGCTGTTTCCGCTTTATTTTGTTTTGGCTTTGTGTTTTCTTAGTATTGTTTCATTCTACCTTCATGTCGTTCCAGCTTTGTGTTGTCTCGGCTCAATGGYGACTCGGCTTAATGTTTTCTCCATTGCATGTCACCTCAGTTTCATGTCGCTCCAGGCATCATGTTGTTCGAGCTTCATGTTGATCATGTCGTCTTGGCTTTATGTTGCCCAACTTTGTTGTCTCCGCTTCATGTCATCGCTGCTTTACGCCATACCAGCCTCATGTTGTCCAATGACAGGAAATGTGTTACTTGCTACTTTGAATGATGGGAGTTTATTTTCATAATAGGAGCACTTTATTTTCCAATTAGAGTTTAAAAAGTGAAATTTTTTAAAGTAAGTCAGCTGACAGTGTGGTGACGATTGTGTTCCATTGTTGGATGGATCATAAAAAAGGATTTAAATACATCTTCTAACAAAAATGTGTCTTTTTTTCTTCAGCTTTAAAATTCAAAGGCAGTGAATTTGAATTTCTAGTAAGTGAGAAGGAAAATTGTGCAGTGTGAAGAAGTCTTAAATTATTCTTTATTAAAGCTAGCAGCCAAAGGCTTGAATTAGGTGGGCCTATCTTTCCTTAAAAGTTTTTTAATTTTGTTTTTATTAGGTGGGTGCAAAAACACCTAATGACTGTATTCTACATTGCACTCTTTAATTAAATAAATGTGACACAGCTGTATTTTCTAACCTTTGTTTTGTTAACCTGTGGCCATATGTAATTATTTATGTCATATTAAGATTAAATGTACACAATTACTTTTGGGTACGTCATGTGGCCCCTTCCTGCAGGTGAACGAAACTATCCTTCAAAAATAATTAGCTAAGATTGACTTTTCGGGGTCACAGGCAGGAGAAAGGAGATGATGTGTAAAAGACAGGAGCTTTTTCAGAATGGAGCACTTTGTTTTGCAAACTGAGCGCAGATTTTTCTTTTTAATATATCATGGAGTATTTGACATTTAGCTGCTAAAACTAGTCTAAAACYAAATATTTTTCAAGAAATGCCATGTTGCGACCTTCACCCTCAACTATTAGGGAATGTGCCATCAAAAAACCAAACGAAAACAAGACTAAAATTCTTGTACAACAACCTTTTTGTTGGAAGAATTCAGAAACACCTTTTTCTTTTCTTTTTTCTTTTGCKTGTGTGTTTCTTTATTTGGGCCATGTTCAAATAAAGTTATGGAGCACAAAAACTGACAAAATTACCATATTGGTTCTAGGCTACTCTATCAGCAATGTAGCTAGCAAACTTTTGTTAGCTGACAGTGGCTAGCTAACTAGTTAGTCATCTGTAGCTAACTAACTAACAAGCTAACTGTAGTTAGCTGACTGTGCCTAACTAACTGTGGTTAGTTGAGTGTAGCTAACTGGCTAGCTAGCTCCTCAGTATTTGATATATACAGTATTTGATATCAACATTTAAATACTTTGCAATATTTGAGATTATCTGATACATCTCAGATGCATAAACTGAGTGTGGCAAAAGTAGCCAAAAATGTGTGAATATACAGAGTTAAATAAAAAATAAACATTTTTTTGCCATATGTATTTCCTGCATACTGTATTTGTTCCATTTTTCACACTAATCATGCTGAATTTATGTATTTTTGTTATCTCGTTGCTCTATGCTGATCATTTCACATGTGAAACTTTAAACTACTGCTTTGAAAATATAATTTTAATCTTATCCCCGTTTTGAAGGGAAAAAAGTGATTGGACAAACAGAATCATGGTGCCAGTAGATTCCACAAACCCTCTTCATTATGTCTCTGATATTTCTTCACACTGTAGCACTGTTAAAAAAATCTGATGTAGTATTGGTATTTGCTGATTTGCTTGCCTATAATATCAACACCACAGTTTGGTTATTTCTGCTATACAAAGCCCAACGGTAGTTTTAAAAGCAGCTGTATTAAAAGACTAAAACAAGGACGGTAGTATCTAGAGGTGCTAATAACATGAGTTGTATTTTTGTCTTTCATTGTAATATTGACCAGCTGTAACTGTCTGTAACACAGTAGGACGTAAAGAGATTATTTCAATATTAAACAATATACACATATTAAAAAATGTCAATGTGTTTGATTTTTTTTAAATTGTTCCATTATGTTAATCTTGACTTTCACATTGCTGCCATCTGTTGGAAAATGCACACTTCTCCATGTGAGTCAGTTTTTTWATTAAAACTTTTATTTAGTTCAGTGCAAAAAGATTAATGTTTGTTAGGATTTACCAACTCAGTCTGTTAATTGCACAAACATATTCAYATAAAAAGTAATTAAGGGAAAAAAATTAACAATGTTCGCAATATAAAGTCATAATGTTAATTAGAAAAACAACACAGGATGAAAATAAAAACAGCACTTATGAAGKGCTTAAAAACAAAGCAATTTGGCCTTTAGATGATTACTTTTCCCAAAAAACTTGTAAAAGAAGGAAATTTAGTTGCCTTTTATTCAAACACTTGGAATAACGAGCGTATAAAGCAGTGCTGTGCCACCATTAATCCAAATTTCCAGGAAAAAGAGGCAGTTTTACATCTTGGTGAGGTGCAGAGTGTTCAGTCGGACCCCTAAAACCGTTGCTCCAGATGCRTACTGAATCTCTCGTAAGACSCCGTTCCACTTCTTCTCTGTCTCRTTGTACCTGAGGAGATTAAATAATGAATAAACACTCAAATTAAATCTGCAGAAAATGCTCTTGAAGAGTCTTGGGTGTTCTCGTAAAGTACCTCCAAATGTCGTTCATCTCTTTGGGAAGGATCTCCTCGCTGTCCTCCAAAGGCATCATGGCGAAACCTCCCACGGCGTAGAGGGAACCAGCCAGAGATACGAGATTCAAAGAGCTGCGCTCCTGAGGAAACGGCTCAAAGTCTGACCACCTGCGACACGAAAACAGAAAGAATGAATACGTCTTTCATTGTGACTGAACCTTCAGTACTACCAGAACAAAACAAGCAGAAACGCTTCGTTCGGGTGAACCCACTCGTTGGTTGCGATGTCGTACACCTCCACAGAGTCCGTCAGGCCGTCGTCTGTCACACCTGCTGCAACGTAGATTCTGTCTTGATGAAGGGTGGCTCCGAACAGGGTGCGTGCAATCTTCATGGGAGCCAGCTCCTTCCATTCAAACCTCTTAGCATCATAAGCACACATCTTCTTCAGACAGCTCCTGTTTGAAGAAACAGACGCTTTTCTTACATCCTTCATCTCCCCTGTCAGATCCTAACGTCTGATGAATTTACTCACTTGCTGTCTCCCTTTCCTCCGATCACATACACCAAATCGTTGTGTGATACTGTTGCGTGTCCATAGACCGGGTAAGGAATCGACTCAGACTCGCCCCATTTAAAGGAACTGTGAAAAAAAATAACCACAAGAGCAAACAAATTCATTAGAATTCATTTTCTAAAATTGGTTTTCCAAGTTGTTTTATTTTTTTAACTCTTGACTCACTGTCTGTCATAGACCAAAACTGAATCTAGCGTTCGCTCTCGATCCTTCAGCTCCTTCCCTCCCAGCACAAAGATGGAGTTCTCTGCTTCGGCCAGTCCGAACAAGAACCGTGGAGACGGGAGGGGAGGCATCCCGAGCCAGTCCGCACTAACTGGGTCATACTGAGACCAAGAGACGTAAAGACAAGTTGGTTCGTTTGTTTCACGTCTTTACCAAATGTGTGCTTTAGAGTTAAAGGCTAAAAACAAAACTATCCAGACAAACATCCCATCAAGAGATATGATACATTAATATAGTATTGATGAGAAGATATTTATGATACAAAATGACACTGTGTATGAGACATTACATGACACCATATACTGTGCATGGGACAATATTTGATACAGTACTACAGTATGTATGAGTTTCTATATGATGCAATATATGATACAATACTAAACTGGGCATGGGACGGGACGATATATGATACAATACTACGTAAGAGACGATATGTGATGCATTAAATGATACAATGCAATACTATGTATGAGACGATATATGATGCAATACTAGAGTATGTATGAGATTATATATGATACAATACTAAACTGGGCATGGGATGATATATATGATACAATACTACGTAAGAGATGATATATGGTACAATATTTGATACGATATAATGCTATGCATGAGACGAATACTGCGTGAGACAATACGATACACTGCTATTTGATATAATACATGATACAATGCGATATGTAATATACAATACTATATAGTGTTATACAATAGGATGCCATGAAATACAATACAATATGATACTATTTGATATTTGGTGCAACACAATACAATACAATACAATATAATACAATATGATATGAGCCTGTTTGGACTGATACAATGACGATATGATGCAAAACTATATAATATGATACAACACACTGTGATGTAATATAATAAAATTTGAGACTGAATGGTAAAATACAATATAATACTATTTGATATATAGTTTGACATACATGTATGATGTAATGTGTAATGTGTCCTTTAAACCAGTGTTTCCCAAAGTTGGGGTCGGGACCCAAAGTGGGGTCCCGAAACATCAAGGTGGGGTCCTGAAAAGATTTGCTGAATTAATGACATTTTTGTCTTAGTTGTTACAAAGGAGTGAGGTTAGTGTATTTAAAATGGATAAATGTGGTATAAAAAATACTGTTACTATGCCCGTGTTTTGTTGACCTGATACAAATGTTTATCCTCCAAAAAGAGTTGTGGGCTCAGGTCTCTGCTGCTGTTATTTTGTGGGTCAAAATCTGAAAAGTTTGGGAACCACTGCACTTTGGTTCCCAAAGTTGGGCTTGGGACCCAATTATGGGTCATGAAGCACCTTGGATAATCTCCAGAAATCAATTTAAAGGGTAATAAAATAATTGCTAATGTAATATTTTCCCCATAACATTACAAAAACACAAAATAAGTATAAATAAGTACGGTATTTGTATTTGTGTACAAGCTGTTTAGATTGTCAAAAAGCCTGTGTTTTTAGGGTTATTAATGAAGTTTGTGTACTCAGACCAGTAATATTTGGGGTCCCAAGTTTTTGCCATGGATATTTTGTGGGTCAGAAGATAAAAAGTTTGGGAACCACTGCTTTAAACTAATTATCAGAAAGCTGACCTGACCTTAGTTTATCCTCTCTTCTGTTTGTGAAGCTGTTTTCATACCTGCAGGAAGTAGGAGCACAGTGGATCCACCTTGTTCTCTTCATCAACAAATAACCCTCCCACCACAAATATCTGGTTCTCCCTGGTCACCAGACTGGAGTGGTTCTTGGGGACCTGTGTGGAGAGAGTTGCTACAAAGCAGTCGTTCCCTGATGGGTCGTAGGCCACGGCGCCTGCTTCGTTCACCATCAGAATCAGCTCCCGGACAAACATCCCAAATCTCAGGTTGTCGTTGAGAATAGCCGGTAAAAGACCTTCCTCTTCTTCCTCCTCTTTATTTTCATTGTCTCCATCTTTCTCTGCTCCGCTGGCGTCCTCCTTGTCTTTTCCTTTTTTAACCTCTGGCATTTTACCGGCACGTGCATCCCTAACCAGCTGGAGTTTCCTCTGGATCTCTGGATCGGACGAGATCAGTTTGTGTTTCTCCACCTTCTCCTTCAGATACTCGTCCGTGACGAGACGCAGGCGAACGCAGTCGAGCAGGTCCGGGAGTTCTTTCAGTTTGTTCTCTGTGTCCTGGGACATCCAGTTCATCAAGGCCTCAAACACCACCTCCTCTGACTCCACGTTCAGGTTGTCATTTGTTAAAATGGCTGCCAGCTCACTGGGGAGAAGCTGGAGGAAGTCCTTGTCTCTGGAGATGAGCTGGAAGCGCTCGCAGGCGTAGTTTCGGGCGGAGACGGCCAACCTGGGACAGTCCAGCATCAAGCCCAGCCTGAAGACGGCCAGGCAGTTGCTGAGGCTCAGGCGCTTCTGCAGAAAAGACACACAGACGGTGAAAATGGAAGGAATCTGGAACATGTTGGCAACGGCAAAGATGTCCTGGACGTTCTGCTCCGTCACGTTGATGATGGAGGTGTACAGGTACTTGAGGATCAGGCCCATGACACCAGGCTCCACGTCCTCCAAAACAATCTCTCTCTTTTTGCTCTCCTCCAGGTCGGACAGGAAGATGGAGCGGAAGTAGGAGCTGCAGGCACACAGCACCAAACGATGGCAGGGGAATTCCTTGTCCTTGATCTTTAACACGCAGTCGACCAGCTTGTCGTTCTCCAGCAGGTCGTAGAGCCCGTCCTGCAGCAGAGTCTGCTGGTACATCCTGGGCTCATCCATAGGGTTTACAGGCAGGGCCATGTTTTTGTTTCCTTAAATATATGAAGAGTCTTTACAAGGTTGCGGATCAAACAAACGTGGATGGTCTTTATCGCAGAGTACTTTTCTAGTCTTGAAGGTGRATTTAAAAGCCCCGTTCACCATCTGAGTCCAGGGACRGCCCACTTCCTCAGCTGTCCTCAGTCATCAACTGAGCTCCAACTGGTCCGTTATTTTTGGACACGGTGCTCRTCGTGGAGCTATGGGCTTTATTCTGGAACACTGAAATCCAATACAAGCTTCCCTGTCCTGTTCTTCCACCCGCCACCCCCCAGGATCCACAGTCCGACAGCTGACAGCTGAGTCAGAGGGGGCTCCGGTGGGCTTTGTCACTGACTCATGCTCTGTTTTTGTTGGTTTGTTTGGCATGACAGATTCAAAGTGTGTTACTTACTTGTTTTCTTTAATTACTCTTTCTAATTTAATCTTAAAATTGAACAAATCAGGGTAAAAAGTGGCTGTTTGTTTACTGTAAAATAATAGTTTATCTTTTAAGATGGCATTTAATGGAAAAAGTTATGATAAATCGATTTTCTGGTTAGAATCAAACAGTTTTTCCAGAATCTGAATAGATCTGTTACAAAAGGACAACTGATATTACCAACTTTTAAAAACTGTTACGGCCAGAGGTCATTCTTCTATGTTTATACTAAAGCAWGGAATGACATTCCTCAAAACATAAAGTCAATTTCAAAACTACAGCCCTTTAAGAAG